GGACAGCAAGACGGACATTGCACAAAACCAATATACTGATTCACTTTCGTGAATGAGTATAAAAAAACTTTATATTTGTGTGTAAATTTTTGATGTTGCTCATTTTTCTGAAATCTGAGCCAATTGCCTCTCAGTACCCATGGAGAAAATGTAAACCATACAATCTGTTACTTATCATAATCTTCGAGATATTATTTGAAATCTTAGTATCGCTAATAGCACTTGTCACTTTTGAGCTCAATCGAGGACTGAGTCTACATAGTATACCTACATTTTTAGGTCTATATATACATATTGCTCTGCCTCAATATATATATTTATTTATTGCTGAGAGCATGTCGTCACATGTTTACTACTTTGCTATGCCTTCTTTGAGAATATCTATATATCTTTTTTTTATTGCCCAATTTCTATTTAAAATCCTTTTGCTATCCCTGGGTTACTTCCCCCTTTGCCTCTTTTTAGCCTTAAACGTGTCTATGTCTCTATTAACGATACACTTGCCCATCTTCTTCTTCTTCTTCTTGTAGTTCTCCCCATAATGGTTATGATAATTGCATTGCCTACTTTTCGGCTCCTGCAAATAGCTTTGACGCCATTTTTTGTAGGCAGCTGGTTTTGACTTTGACTTGGCCTCTCTCGCTTTGCCTTCGACTGTGTGCCAAGATTTTCTTTTCCCTTTTGCCAATTACCCAGCATTACCTTTTCAAACCAGCCAAGTTGCCTTCAAAAAATAATGCCATGCTACATAGCAGCCTTTAATACTCTCTAAATTTGATCGAAAATCTCATTTTCGTGAGCCGAAGAGAAAAGAGAATCGTGACCTCTATGTTTTCTAATACTAGAAAAACGATTTTCTATATTTTTATGTTAGCATTCTTACGTTATAGCAACAATATTTATTCCAGATTAGTTGAAATTGTGTAGCTAAACTAAGCTAAGTAAGATTTTGAATGTATTTCGTATTCTTATTGCTAATTCTTGCTAATTTTTCACACATATGTCTCTTCATTCGATTGAGTGCCACATCTAAGGCTTTTAACTCTATGTTAGAGCATTGTACAACGCACTCGCTGCTATGCAACTATCTCTTCTCTGTTGTCCGATTGTCTCTTTCGGGCGTCTGCGTTTGTGTCTATGGACTTGCTTACTGTCAACTGGCATTAAAAAGGCAAAACAAGAAGCAGAAAAAAAGGCAAACGTATTGCGAAATTGCAGCAGGTAAAATCAACAACACGGGCAACAACAGCAACAACAGCAACAACCTGAAGCAACCTGCAGCAAAAGTTTTTTTCTATTGATATTGCGGTTGTTGTAGCTGCCTTGCTTTGCCTGTTACATATTTGTGGGCATTATTGTTATTGCAGTTGTTGTTGCTGTTGTTGTTGTTGTTGTCAGACAAACAAGCGACAGCAACAGCAACAACAACAACCTGTAGCAACGACAACTTTTGTCGTGATTTTAAGCAATGCCAAAAAGTAGGCAACAAGAAAGCGAATGTCACATGTGTGTGAGTATATATATATGTGTGTGTGTGTGTACGTGTGTGTATATGTGAAGTCAACTGCTGTTGCCATTGTTACTGTTATTGCTGCTGCTGCTGCTGCTGCTGCTGTTGCCGCTGGCTGCAGCGATGCCAAAGCTAAAGCGGAAACGGAAGCGGCCAAGCTGCCAACTTGCACTTTACACTCTGCTTCTTTCTGCTCTCTGGGCCAAGCAGCAAACAAAAAAGCATGACAACAAAAACAACAAAAAAAAAAACAACAGTATATAATGCCAGCACACACACAAACATAGGCAAACAACAATAGAAACATGGCCCGCAAACTGTTTACACCACATGCCCATTGTACTTTTTCGCGTATTTTCAACGTCTATTTTCGTACAGCTTCTTTTTCTCACTTTTTTCTGGAATGCTCAATTTTGCTTCGTTTAAAATTGGAAAAACACGTGAGCAAACGATATGAGTATAAGAGTGTACGAGTATAAGCGTAATAATGCAGAAGAATAGAAGAATCGAAAAAAAGAAGAGCGCAATAGAAGACTCGAAGAATAGAAGAGTATGAGCGTATAAGAATAGAAGAAGAGCATAAGGGTAGAAGAGAAAAACAAAAGTACATATCAATGCTTCAGAATCTCCCAGTTCTTAAGATAAGGAGTATAAGAGCACACGAGCATTGAAGTAGAGGAGTCCGAGAACCTATACCATAGTACTGTACATACACATGATGCCACCAGACAGTAGTATTTGATTCCACACTTAAAAATTACTTCCAAGTGTTGCAAAACCCACTTGGCAGCTGCATTAGGACATAGAAGCTGCCTTCTGACGGAGACCAAACAAAAACTTCGCACTTTGCACTGATTTTTATATAGACTTAGGGGGCTTTTGGTTTGGCAGCAAACGAAACAATAAGCTGACAAAGTGACATTGAAAACAACAACTGAATGCGACACAGGCTGCATGAGAGCGAGCGAAAGAGAGAGAGAGAGGGAGGAGAGGGAGAGAAAGAGAGACAGAGAGAGAGAGAGAGGGATCGGGTGCATGTGAGCTGTGACAATTGAATGAATGAACGGGCGTTGCAAACTTGACGCCGAAAAATGATGCCAAGTGGTAACAAGTCCGGAGAGGGAGGCTGGGGCAGGGGCGTGGCACTGAAGGGAGGGGAACGCTGCCGGACTGGATGGTCATGAGTTATGGCCTGTGGTCATGTGGCGCATGTGGCGCCAGAGCAGGCTTCAACTCCGCCCCAAGACTGGGACTAGAGGCTGTAGTGTGGGGGGGTGGGCTTTTCTGAAAGGGCGGTTGGGGAGGGAGCTAAAAATGAAAAGTGAATGTCGCAATGCCAATGCGATTGCAATTGTGAAAGTTAAATTGAATGCGTTGCGACAATGTTTGGCCGTTGGTGGGGCGACAGCCTTCGGCTTTTGGCTAAAGTTTCTTTCTTGTTTTCCATTTTTATTTGTATTTTTTTGGAGTTCAAGTACTTCAGCTGCATGTTAAGTAATTGGAGCGGCAGCAGTCGTAAATGATGGCTACAATAAGCGTAACAAAGGCCACGAAATAAAGCAGTTGATAAAGATGTTTAAGAGGAAACGAACTCGAAAAAGGAGAGAATTCCAGCTGCAAACTAAATTTAAATATGATTTAATATAAAAAGATATGTCTAATAAAGCAGTCGAAAGTAGAAGAGGACAAATATATATAATCGTTTATCTCTGTACATTCACTCATCAGTCGTCAGTCATCAGTTATCAGTAATAAGCCATCAGTCATCAGGCATCAGTCCTCAGTCCTCAGGCATCAGTCCTCAGTCCTCAGCTATCAGTTATGAGTTATCAGTTATCAGTTATCAGTTAACAGTTAACAGTTAACAGTTATCACTCATTACTCATTACTCATTACTCATTACTCATTACTCATTACTCATTACTCATTACTCATTACTCATTACTCATTACTCATTACTTATTACTCATTACTCATTACTCAATACTCAATACTCATTACTCATTACTCATCAGTCATGAGTCATCATTAATCAGTCATCATTCATTACTCATTACTCATGACTATTACTTATTAGCTATGTACATCATTGTCGCTATACTTTTAAGGAATCGAGTCTGCTCCGTTTATAAAGCTGCTGTCTCCATATATGTATGTAGTTTGAGTATTATTCTCGTGTTTCGAGGTGTTTCTTTTTCACGCTCTTCACAATTTCGCAGCTCATGCAAAGCTTTATTGAAAAACGAAACAAGAAATTGGTAAGCAGAGAAAATGGCACGGAACGAGTGTCTCAACAAATGAATAAATCAAATGAAGTGAAGTGAATGAAGGGAACGAACAATGAGAAGTCCAATCAATGGGCTAAAGCTGAAAATCAGATAGAGGGAGCGAGAGGACTGATGCCTCTGAGTGTGAAAGGGACCCCAAGTTTGCCTGGGTGTGTGTGTGTGCAGGTAAAAGCAAACAACAAATAAATTTGATAGGAAAATCCGTAAAACTAACTCGCTTAATAACTCGCACTTGAGTGGCAAACGCAAACACAGTCGCTGCTCGAGTGCCAAGCAAAAGTTTTTTACTATTTTTTCGACTGACCAACTGGCTAGTTTTCCAACACTAGCACATACGCACACACACACATATGTACTACTACTAATGCACGCTAACCAACACACAAAAGTTTCAGTCAGAGGAAGCATTGCGGCAGCCCTCCAGAGTATTTTGGAAATGTGTGAATGAGTCTGTGTACTACAGTCTGTGTGTGTGTGTGTGTGTGTGTGCTCTGTTGCTGCTTTCAATTGTGCTGAAGTGTAATAACTTTAAGCTGCATTTGGTTGCCAGTTCGTTCCGAACTCCACCAAAAAAAAAAAAAAAAAAAAAAAAAAAAAAAAACTAAAAAAGAGAAAAGAACCGAACTAAACCAAAAGCAAAATCCGGCAAAGTAAAGAAAAGTCCAGCAAAATGAACGCGTGCAACACACACACACGCCACCTGTCGTTTGGTTTCTGTCTTCGACTCCCTTCCCCTCTCTCTCTCTCTTTCGCTCTCGCTCTCACAATCGCTCGCCGTCTCTTTCGGTAGCAAAGTTTTAAATTTGCTTAATCAACAAAATGCAAATAACAGCTCGTCAGGGATTTTTGTTTAGTCTTGTTTATGCTTTATTTACGCTACCCAAAATAAAAAGAACAAAAATAACCGAGCAGCACCCATCAGCTATTGCTCTCTCGCTCTCTCTTAGTCACTCTGTGCCTCTGTGACGCACAGAGTTCGCAA